AAGCCTATTAAAAGGCTGTCCAGTATCTTGCTTTCCAAATGCCACTTTGTGTTTAACATTTACGACCAGTGCTTTCAAACTCCTTGGTTGGTCTACTCTTTCTCCTCCATTATACATTTAAAAATATCCTATACTCAAGCAATTAGAAAAAAACAAAAAACAATAACATGAAGATGTAGTGCTGGGGAGTTGTCCACTGTTCTTTCCTTTGACCTTGTAGCTTTCTGCAAGGCCATTAGGAATGTATCCTGTCTAAAATCTTTTTTGTGTGTGTATGGATTATTAAAAGATGGAGAGCAGCAAGTGTAGGATACATTTTGTCAGCAGTTTAACCTCAAGATGCTTTTCCATGCTTGAAAGTCAAATGCTAATAAGCACATTTCTGACAATCATGCCATGCAAGTTTTTCTGATCTGAGAGAGAACATATCCTGAATCAGAGGGCACCAGGAAGAGGCAGAACATGACACTATCACAAAACTTCTGCTTCTTATATTCCACCCTCTGAATTTGAATTTAATTTCTATAGAGCCAGACAGTCTGATGTGAATCCCTTTTGATTTCAGGTAAGCCAATTCTTTTTATAAAAAAAAGGATGTCTCTGACCTCCAGAGTTAGATGCCTTTTCCAGAGAGAGAGTAAAGAAACATGATACTCAACAAATGCATACAGTGGGGTTGTCAGCAGTTTGAACACGGAAGGTGATAAAAGAAATGCAGAATTCTAATAGCCTGAAACAGTATCGCAGCTGCTCTACTTAAGTCATGTGGTTTTACCTTTAAAATCACAGCATTTCAGCATCTTCAATGTAAAGATGAAAAAAGAATTAATTAACTACTGAATGATTTCATATCACGCTTGCTTATTCTCAAACTTAAGCCATTTCCCTCTGTTTTGTTCTGTCTCTCTAAAAAATTCAGTTCCTCTTTAGGACAGATGTTGCACTTGGTGTATGCTTAACATGCGCAATTACTGCATGTAATTCTGCCACAAAATTTGAAAATTAAAAAACCCTTAAATGTAACATTTTAAATTTAACATTTTAAAGTTGAAGTGAATTTGAGAAAACTTGAGCGCTATACAGAAAACAAAGCAATCAAATATAGTATGCTGCTAAATAAAGGAGACCTCTCATCTTAAAATTTGTCTGACACTCTGACAGCATCTCCATAGTGATAATGATACTTCCTTTTGTGAAGCATTATGATATCTGCAAAGCTGTACAAGAGCTAAGTGTTATTATTAGAGATTGGAAAAGGCCTATTAGATCTTCTATCCATCTCTGATATAACAGAAAATGACAGTGATTTGCTGCAGTGATTTGACAGTGACATTTGTAAAAAAGTCCTTTCCTCTTAACTCTGCAAGTTTCAGTGCTCAGGATTCACTAAACTTACTAGTTTACTAGTTTTGTCAGTCCTCAACTTCTATGAAGCTTAACAAAAGATGAGATAAACATGCCCATTTCAGGCCCTCTTTTCCATCTCTTTCTTTCCATCTCCTTCTTTTACTTTTCAAGGAGGACAATCCACACAAATAGTGCAACTGTCAAGATTCCACTCCCTAACTGCAGATTGCCCCTATCTTACCCATCTTCAAGGCAGTACTGCAGCATCTCTCTGACTGAGATTGTATATCAAATAGGAGAGAAGCTGTTGCCCACCTTGCTGGTGTTTTCCAGCCGATTTCCACCTCAGAAGCCACATACAAAACATTTCCATTACAGTCCACTGTGAAACAAATCACAGAATCACAGAATCACAGAATGGCCAGGGTTGGAAGAGACCTCAAGGATCACGAATCTCCAACACCTCTACCACATGCAGGGTCACCAACCTCCACATTTAATACTAAACCAGACTGCCCAGGGCCCCATCCAACCTGGCCTTGAATACCTCTAGGGACGGGGCATCCACAACCTCTCCAGGCAGCCTGTTCCAGCACCTCACCACTCTCTCTGTAAAGAACTTCCCTCTGACATCCAACCTAAATCTTCCCTCCCAAATGATCAAGTGCTTTATCTGCAGTGGGTTCCTTGTCAGGTAATGCATGGAGTAACATGATGGCAGTCATTAGAGGTTTGCAGAAGTCTTGACAGTAGATAGTGTCAGTTTGAAGATCTTTATCCTCATGAAGGAGGCTCTGTTTCTCAGCTGCTTTCAAAAGAAAGAATTGTTTCTGTTCTTCCTTCCCCCACTTACCAAAATTTCTTTGAATGTTTGCTACAACAGGTTTTCAACTGAAGTACCAGTATAACAAAAATGGCTGAAGCAAAATCAGTTGAAGTACACGAGAGATGACTCTCAGTGTGAATCATACTGCGGTGAGCAAAGAAGAGGTCTGTCTGGCCTTCTGTACTGGAGTGATAACAGACATTGGGTGCAGTCTGTACTCAGATAAAGTTAATGGTAATGACATCTGGTAGATGACACAGAGGAGAAAGCTCCTGTCATCTGTTTCTTTAATGCTCTGTGCCCGAACCATTATATGTCAGACTTGGTAGAAATGACTAATCTTTCAGTATCTACCACTCTTCCCTCCCATGCTCTCAGACGCAGGAGACTGAAGGACTACTAGATAAATCACCATCATATATTCACAAAGCCCTCTCTCAGCCATAACAAATACTTACATGAAGTCTTGTACCTTCCAAGTGCTTCACCAACATAAATATATTAATAAGACCTTTTCCAGAAGAGAAGGCAGTATCAGAGAGATGGCATTCAAATGGCTGGGCTTTGAGAAGTAGAGCTTCAAATATTTCATTAAACCTTCATCAATTTCAAGCCCATTTAGAAAAAAAGATGGGAAGTACAGTGGAACTTTTTGAGCAAATAGAGGTGTAACAGCTCGTAAAATGATTCTGCCCTCTGTGATAACAGAGTTAATTAAATTGTGTATTCTACAGTGTCAACAACTGAATTCTACATCAAGTGAAATGAAAATAAGATTTTTATACTCCGTTTGATTGATGCCACCTATATGGCTCTTTCAAGGTGACTGGTGGCATTTGCCACTGATGTGCTTTGGCAAAAATCTTGTTTTGGCATCATAATCAGGATATTAAGGATATTTTGGTATCTGATACTTAATTGTCAATATATTTAGAATTCTAATTAGCAGTGGCTTGTTAAGAACTGACAAACCTATCTAAATATTGTAAGGGCAAAAAAGGAAATAGATCATGTTATTCTTCAAATAATGCAGATTACATATAGATGCACTTTTCAGGTATGAATTCATTTACAACTATAAAATGTAGAATAGTCTGGAAAAGATTTTTTTTGTGGTAATAGAATTTCATTTATCACACGATTTTGGATGAACTCCAGTTGCTTAGGGTTTTAATTCAATTTGTATCATGTTTTCTTGCAGTCAGTTAGCTAGGCTGCCATATGATCACTACCAAGACACGTGCATGTTTCAGTTGCTACACATCTGTCTTATGTAAATCATATTAGTCTTTGTATGTATAGTACTGTATTTGCTAATTCTTAAGATAGACTACCGTTTGGTCACAGCTACATCTGCTATGAATTCTGAAATGTCTACTGTGTCAACCAATAACAGGTTTATAAAAAAAAGGACCCCTCTCAGCCCAGTCTCTTGCTAATTACTGCATAAAATCTACCAGAATTTGCTTGGGATCTTTGCTGCTGAGCAAAGAGGCTGGAACTTTGAAGGTGGTGAGGTAGTTGGCAGTAGTCAAATCTGGAAATATGAATGACATTTCCTGTGAAATGCAACTCCCCAAACCACTGACAGATGTAACTCTCTTGGTTCTTGCTGGAGATTTCCAAATTGCTATTTCATCTTTATCTCTAAGATTGGAAGAAAAACATCCCATTGCATGGTTACCAATGTCACATGTAATAAGAGAACCACACACCCACCACTGTCACAATGAAATAATGCCATGCAGAAGAGTCTCAATGTAACTCTGACTTTAAATCAGTAAGCAATAAAGGAAATCCATTTGAAAATACTGTCCTTAAAAGCAAACACTCAAAATGCCAAGACTGAAATCTACCACTTTTGAAATTCTGAGAAGGAAACATGATACAGTATTTGCTCAGTTTTCCATAACTTATAGTCTTAATTCAATATTCATTTTTTTGTCACTTGTATTACAGTAAGATTTCATTCAGATATTGTCCTTTCAATTACAGAAACTGTGGTTTGAATCCAGAGCAGCTTGTTAGCTAGATCAGACAATGAGGAACTCAGATTCAGATTCCTTCTTCTCTCACCAGAGAATTGAAGCATGTTGTGCACTATTATTACTAAGAATGGGCAATCAAAACAAAAAATGATGAAAAACTGAATACAGAATAGTCTTATAATAAGTAAAAAAGGTGGATGTGCCAGTATGATAAACCTCACAGAACATACAATATGATGGTGAAATATTTCCAAAAAGTGCCTTGTGTACATGCTGAACTAAACCTATTAAATAATGGATGTTGGCACAGAGAGGAAAGAAATAAATGGTGATTAATATTTGAGTGAGATGCCATACCTTTCAAGGTCTTTGTTAAATCCACAATTCTACTCAATGGATAGTATTGCATAGCAGTTCAGTAAAATTTTAAATCATTTAGATGAAAACCTACCATTATTTTCATGCACAGTAGGATGCTTTGAGATGAAAACATTCAGAATTTAGGGCCACAAAAAAGCTTAAATGCAATTATTCTTATAATTAAAATACAAATTCCATGTACTGTAAATGCAACAACCCAAGAAAAAGTCAAATTCATAAAAACTTTCCTTAATATGCTGCATAAAGTATCAGAAAGATTGAAAATAGGATTAGCAACGGAGAATGCATCTTTTCAGTGAGTATTGAAAAAGATGCTTATCAAAATTTATCAGGTGAAGTCTGAGAAATGCTGATAACAGATGGGAACTGTCTTGGCAAAAATAATGTTGCTAGTTTGAATGTTTCTCCAGCTGAGAATAAAAGTGTCCTGAAAAAAAGCAGCAGATAATTTTTATTACCTCTTCTTTCTCTGCGCTTTGCAAGTCCCTCCACTCTTCAGTCACATGGCCAAAGTCCACTGTGTTCATTGCAACCTTATATTCCCCAATAATATCATGTTTGGAGAAGCGATCAAAGTCATAAACTGCCATCACTAAAGTTTTTCCACCCAGCTCGGAGTATGGCACCTGTGAAGAAGAGAAAATGACAAACTCAGTATCTCTGACAATAAAGATCAGTTCACTACAATGCAAATCTATTTCTTTAGTTTATCAGCTGTCATCTCAGGTAAATTGAAAAGCAGAGAAAATTATGAGGTGTATTTGTTTCAGAGTCACCACATGCAGTATTTTTCGAGACCAGACTATGGCACTCAATAGAACAATGTGGCAGCTCACTCATCACTCTACAGGGTTTTCTCCTTCTACTTCAAATTATATTGTGGGTGATGAAACTAAAACAGGAAGCCCAATTATTTGCACTGAAGACATACGAACTTTTCACTCAATGGTGTCTTTTCCCCTATAAATCAACTGTTATCACTCAGAAATGGGTAGTTCCCAGACTAATGAAAAAACAGAACTGGCTTGCTGTATCTGACACAAAGTAATTAGACACTAAATAGTTTTCTTACAGCATCACTACCTGTTACTTACCACAGCATATTTTTCATTATGATACCTTTCACACTGCAGACACTAAGGTAAGTCACATTGCACAGTTAGAAACTGTGTGGCAGTAGGCCAATTTCTGTCTAATTCTCCAGCTGTTCTGATATGTTTCAGACAGATGCTGTGGATTTGTACGTTTATGAGTCACATTTTTAATATTCAGATGAAGATATGCAGTTCAAGTAAGCTATACTTGAGTGGCTGTCTAGAAAACTCTAATTTAGGAATTGTTTGCACTTAACATTAAACACTTGGTCAATTTGAACATATTCTGCAAGTATAAATGGTTTCCATGGGCTTCAGTAAACATGCCTCTGTTAATTGTCTATATGAAAAGAGAACCGAAAGCACAGCACTGTCACAGGTCTTGTTAACTGTTGTATGTTCTGGTCTGTTTTAACATAGGTCTGCTGTCTTTTGTTGTTTGTTTGGCTTCCACTTGTTCTTTAAAATACTACCTAATAACACGAGCAGTTTATTTTTTTTCCTGACATTTAAGAACCTTTTCAAGATGAGAGCCAGCTCCAGCTTCCATTACTGAGTACAGCAATTTCAGTGGGTACACGGTGGGTGCATTGTAGTAAAAGTACACAAATACTACTGCAAAAGCTGTTTTGATTCTGTAGATTATTTATAGCTTCTAAAAAGCTACAGAAGGCAAATGTATGTGAAAGGCAAAATTCTGAAAAATTTCACTTTTATTTTTATGCAGCATCAAAACAGGAGAAGAGAAATGTTCTACAGCTCCCTTCTCCATCAGTTTACATTTGCACCTAATGGATCCTGGTCATTTGGAATGCAGGAGAAGGCTGCATTTACTGCTGTGTATTTTTTATCATTAACTTGACCTCAATAAAGTTTATTTTAGCTACCTTCATTTTTAAAGAAGATCTAGTAGCAGTGCTTCCCCCATTCATTATCTCTACTGCAGCCTTAGCACACAGCTTTGTTCAGGACAACCAAGGACGCTCCCAGCTCTTGCTCCTTGCCTTCTGCTCTGCTCAGAGACTCAGTCTCTAAGTGCAGGTGAGACCTCGCTAAAAGACACATAGAAGAGCCTTCTTCCAGCACAGACACATCACCCTCCCAGACAGGAACCTTTTTCCTGCCTTGGGTCTGGTGCAGGAACCTTTCTGTGGGATCATTTAATCACCATCATGGGAATGAGGAGGAATATTTCTGGTGCAGTCCAGCTTGGATTTCTGCTTCCTTCCAGCAGCTCAATGCATGTATATACTTAATATTGCTGCAGCCTGGTAAACATCTGCACCTTTTAAGTGTGACACCATTGGTAGTTCCCAGGGAAATTACTTATTAAAGTTGCAACACTATTTGAATGGTCACTTGTTTTTTTTTACTGTAGTCCCAGTACAATGATAGTACTTGGCATGCTCCATGAGTTTTCTCTCGAGTACAGACCACATAATACAGGGAATGATCAGGACCATATTGATAAGCACCTGAACACTTCTGTCATGTCTTTCTTGGAAAACAAACATTTTTTCTGTAGAATAATATTTGCACGTTATTATGTGACTTAAAACAAGTGGACATTATAGTCCAGGAGTGGATGCTCTGATTTATATTTTGTGTCTTCATTTTAGATGACAGCGTTATTGATTCTTTCTTTTCTTTTGTGAGCTGCACAGGAATCTGTAATTTATAACACTGTTTTCTTTTAAATAGTCTCTTAGGAAAGCTCAAGAAAAAAATAACTCCCCACAAAAGATTATTTTTATGAACATCTTCAAGGGAAAACATAAGCTTATATATGCAGTAGTAGTTCTGGCCTCCAGGGATATCTTTCTCATTGAATGATTACATAGCCTGAGTCTTTCACTGTTCCTGTTTTCAATCTGTGGCTGTCGTAAGATAGAAAGGCCTCCAGTAACAGCAGAGGAATGTATATTAGGAGAAGCCCTTTGAAACATACTGAATAGTATTCCTTTATTTCATTTAACTGGAGTATAGCTATGGCTACAGTTTTAGAAAGAAACAATTGAGGGGAATGACTGGAACAACTTCAACATTACAATGTAGGGGTGTTAGCTACATTTATTCAATATACATATTATTAAGCCAAGACGTGATTTCTATTCACATGTAAAGTAGCATGGTAAAGAATAGCTATGACAAAGTCTAGTAAGATTAATCTGCCATATATTCCTTCATTCATTTACCTTCTTTGAGTTTTAATTTATTTTTGAGGCAAAAAGAAATGGTATACTGAAATTCATAAATCAGGCTACAGATATTTGAAGCAAATGCTGGTTTTGTGAAATTCACCTGACATTTGTCGAAGTGGCACTGTTTTCCCACATTCTTGTAAGTTTCATCCAGTCATAAAATATGGATCAGATTGTCATAAATCAGGATAACCGAAATGCCTAAGATCAAACTGTGCATTTTACACTTGCTGAGATCTGTCCTTGTGTTACATCATTTTCATCATAAGATTGAACATCAGAGGAAAAACAGGGAAAATCACTATGCTATGCTGCAGTTGCCAATTACCTAGGTTATCTAATTTAGTAGTCCAGCATGAGATACATAGTGGGTAAATAAAAATATTTCAGTTATTATATATAAAAAATAATACCTTGAATGTAAACTGCTCATTGAAAACAGGGTTAAGAGTCTTCCTGTGGACTTTTGTTTCATATTTCTTCTTCTTATCAGGCAGCAGGAACACTTTCACATAGGGATCAGATGTACCACCCATATCTAATGCAGGCAGCTCAGCTGCTTGAATAATTCCAACCAGAAGCTGAAAAGACAGAAAAAGAGCAAATAAAATTTCAAAGAGATGTTTATTAAAAAAACACCAAACAACTAAAAAAAACCACCCTGTAACAGAGAAGTACACATCTACACTCTATTTCTGGGCTATGAAAAACAGTTCCCCCGACCTTCAAGGAAGGCAAACGAAGCAACACTACAGACTTTTGAAAACCAATTATGGCAGATGCAGACAGTACAAAAGCTGTTTTTAAGCAGAAAAGAGGTTTTCAAAGGGCAGCTGATTACAGATAAATACAGACTTCATCTTTTTAAAGACTGCAATCAAATAACTTTCAATTGCTATTGCCTCTTATGCATTATTTTTCTACGCTGGGCACCATGAATAGAAATCACATTATTAAACAATCAAGAATGTCTAATTTTGACTACAGAATTTGTGTTCTAAATCACCAACACTTAACCTTTCCCCTCAAAACATAAAAAGGTAATGTATCAAAAGCAGATTTAAGGTAGAGCTTGACTGAAAACAAATGGGTCTTGCAGTGTTCCTTATATTTAATTTCTCCTGGTGTGTATATAGGTTGATTTACGCAGTAATCTAGGGACAACATTTTCAAAATGAAATCCCATGAAAACTAACCATTGTTAACATGTCCTAATGACAATTCTTAATCTCACTGTAAGATAGAGAAGTTAGTATCTTAAATCTCTTAAAACATTTTTAAAATAGGATTGAAGCATATTTGAAACATGTAAATGCCACAGCCATTTTTTAGTGTAACAGATGAAGTCATATGATATGTTGTCTAGACATCCCAGCCTACACTAAGCTGCATAAGAATAATGAAGAGTAAGAAAATACTTTTCATTCTTATTTCATGGACATGAAACTAAAGTAAGTATTCAAGTGACTCTTCAAGGTCAATCTGGAGATAAGTGATTAGGAGCTGGGAGAATACTTTCTTCTATATCAGTTCTTCAGTCACAACATATTGGGCTTTCTCATGGATGAACTGCTTAAAATTGGAAACAGAATATCTAACAAATGGAATAGACAACATTACAGCCAAACAAGGAAAGCAACTCCTGGCTTCTGGGAGATTCCTCAAAGCTGGACTTATTTTTTCTAGTTTTAAATCCACTGTGTGGCCTGCATGATTTCCAAAGCGTGGACCTCTAGAGATCATTTAATTTGGTCATAAGTAGAGAACCTTTCCTCTTCTCTCACATTCTTATTCTAGATGTATATTTCATAAATACAAGGATAGGTTCAGGATCAACATACATAAGTCTTTTAAATCAAAGAGTGAAAAACAAATCTATGGTATGTAGTTAACAGATTGGAAAAGCAATTCAATTCCCTACTAAAATCTGTTTCTCTAAAACAGAGGCAATATGCTCTAGGAAGTATGTTAATGATCTTGTCTTCAGTTTTAACCCTGCAACAAATTAATAACCTCAATTCTGGTTTTCAGTTTCAAGCAATACCAAACCTATACTGTTCTCTCTAGGAATTTAAATCACCTTTTCCACTCTTCTAATCATCTATCCTCCAATGAATTCCAAAATGCAGCACATTTTAGAATAGCAAAATAAAACAGGAATCCATACCTCGAGAATTTACTGTGTTAATTAAATACTACATGCTCCCATGGATTTGTATCTTTCCTATTGCGTATCCTTTCACAAAATACAGTTCTCAAAATCAGCTCTTGACTGGAAATTCTTCCTGTTCAACTTTACTGTTCTGTGAGGGACAGAACTTTTTATCTGCTTTTCAGTTCCTAACAAAATTTGCTTTATCAGAAAGGTATGCTTTCATGGAGAACAATGAAATTTGAGATAACAAGTTAATAAGGCAAAGTGGACATGAAGCAGTGAGAGAAAGCTACTTCTGGTAATTTTATGAACTTGTTAAAACATCTACTGATGAATAAATTGGAACAATTACTTTTATGTCCCTTTCTTTTTTCTCCCATCTTTTGTTTGCTTACGTTTTAAATACCTAGAGACCTATCTTTTGCTGTTCACATGTAAGCTTCATAGTATAATGTAGCTTGATATTGACTGGTGGCACTTTAATACATTATTAATAATAATTAGATGAAACTGTCCTCAATTTTGATTAAAGTTATGAATTCAGAGTACGCTGAACGCTAATTCAGTAGTACTTCTGTCATTCATCTTCAGTCTTGCATTCTTCCTTTACTTAGTAAGAATTCCAGAAAATTCTACTGTACCTACAGGTATAAGTTCATTCTCCCTTTGCATACAGACAACTGAAAGTTACAGGTTGGTTGTTTCAAACCTGATTGTTCTGGAAGTCATAATCCAAAGAATATTGGATTTTCCCTAGTTTCTCCACTTCTTTCGGCTCTTCTTTCTCTTCCCCGTCAGTCAGCCCAGTCTCAGCATCATCATCCTTGAGAGCCTAGAAAGAAGGAATGTAGAACTAATAAATAAAGTTAACTCCCAAGTACTAGTTTAAATCAGACAAATTTTGAAGCCGTTAAAAGCAAGCATGATGGCCGAAATCCAAATGTGCAGTTTACATATATACATTTATACTATTTAGGTTGCTCAATATGTAGTAAATCAGCAAGCAAGCAATGCAAGTAGGAAGAAAGCTTCTTGGAATATTACAAGCAACGATAGTCATAAAAACCTGAAAGTAGAAAGAAAATATCAACTTCATACCAAAGAATTGTTCTGGGCTCACACCGTCTCTTAAAGAGGCACAAGGAGGCAAACATGCTATTAAATAAGCAAAGTCACGCATTCATTCAACTTAAGGATATCTTGGCAATGTGAAACCTGATCGTGCATGCTGTGAATCACTTGCAATTGGCAACACGCTTCTGTAGGATTACTATGATAAAGAGCATGTGTTGTGGATGAGTTCTTCCTACAATCATATGCCAAACATTTTTCATGTTTATTTAGAATGAATATGGAAGCAAAGGTATCACCATGCCATTAGCAAATGCATGTTTCTCCTTTTCCCTCCCTCCCGAGACCAGTTTCCTTTTTATTCATTCTTCCTGTAAAGCATAGCTGAACCAAATTGATTGAAAATTGATTGTAGTTTGCTTGGAAAAAATAAAAAAATAAAGAAATACTGAACTGCTTACAGTTCTGACTATTACATAAAACCTGCTATCTTCAAAGGAGGCAGCAGTTACACAGTGAAAATACTAAATAACGTCATCTTTTTTTGTTGTTGTTGTTTTGCTGTACCAGAAAGCAGAAGTATTTGCATTGTGAAAACGGGAATTTATACAACTATTAAACCATACAAATTACACCTATATATGCAGTTTTATACCACGTAAGAACTGAAAAATGAACAAAGGTGATGAGAAATTATTGTGGAAAATGTGAAAATAAAGTTTAGATTGTTAAAGCAAGGAAATGATGTTGAAACCATTCAGCCGGAATTCTGATTTGCACACGATGATATAGAATATGTTGATTTATAAGAGCCCTGTCTGGATGAAAGTTCCTTCAATATGGAGCTTCTGCCTGCACAGACAGACTATTGAGTGCAATAATAAGATTTGGTCTGTTTTATTTTGTTCTTTCTTTTTTTTTCACAAAGTGATGTGGTCTGAAGAAATCAACAGCATCTATATACAATAGGTTGCAGCTGGAGCTTTATAGCTAAAGAGACAGTGAGGCTGGGAAGTAGCAATACCTACTGCTGATGGTGGTTTGTGAAAACAAAATAAAAACTGCAGAAAAGCATTAGCATTCTCATTCAGCCATGAAGGAAGCGGGGGCCACGCAATAGTGGCGTGGGTGTGGTAAGAGGAAAGATTGATCTCTGAAGTAGAAAATGCTATTTTTCAGAAGCCGGATCTAAAATTCAAAAGGTCAGGGTGAAAACTTTACAGTATTAAGCAATTATTTTTCTACTTTTCGAAAAAAAAAATAGCAATTCAGCTGGCATGGCTCAACTGAAATCAATGCAGCAACATTGATTGATGGAAGCTGAGGAGCTTTGTTAGAGTTAAATATCTGAATGTTAGTGAATGATGGACTCTTTACTAGGAACACAAATTACAGCATTCCATGATGTTGCTATCAGTGGGAAAGGTTGACAGCGGATGAGAATCACCCCTGTTGGAAAAATAATACTTTCCGAACTAAACCATTTGTGTTTGGAAGGACTGGACTATCTAATAGTATTCTGAGATATTTTAATTGCAGAGCTGAGTTCCCTGGCTGTGGCACAACAACGTTTTCGTTGACACAAGAGCAAATGTAGCAAGAAGATAATGCTGGAGCACAGCCAATCCTGCAGGACTATACATGGGAATTTCAGAATATGGAGTGACATGATTACATCAACCACCTTTCTTTCACTGGTGATAAAAATAATCTTGAGATTCTGTAATCACAAATTAAAGAAAAAAAAAAAAAAAGAAAGATGTGACTCAATCCAAGTGAAGCAATCACACTGATCAGAGCCTAGAGACAACATGAAGCATTAACTCAGAATGGGATGTGAACTCCAAGACCCACTGAATCATCTCAGTATTACCCTAGCAGAGGACTGCGTGACAGAAGAGTGATAAACAGCTCCAAGATATCCTTGATTCTAGGATAAGCACTGTCCTTTCTGCTATTACACCTGCTTTTGACTTGGATTTGGTTTAAGCAGAACAATCCTGCAGTCATTCCTCAGGAACAAAATGGAGATTGCAAAGGGAACCTTCTGTGATCCTTTCCAGCTATGAGGCATCTTCAACTATTGCAACAAGGCAAACGTTACACATCCGTATTCCCTTCAGAAAAATTATATACTCTTCTGCATACCTGATCACATCAGGAGATGTGAGAGGTTTGGCTATATCATTGTGAAAAAATTCTTACTATGTCTTCAGAAAATACAAAGGGAGGCTAAGGAGTTCTCAGAACTCTTGCAAGGGAGTGCTGAAGTGCAGACACAAAACACTGCGTGATTGGTAATGTTCTCCATAGGTTATGAGAGTCCTATTGGAAGGTGAAAGCTATTTCCCAGGAGAAAGGGAAAATGTTTCATGTTACTCACATCAGCCGAGTAGCTATATTATTCTTCTTGACCTTGACTCAGAAACACCGAAGAACTAAGAAACACTAAGAATGAGATGGCGTTCAGATTTGTCCAAGGTTTAGGAGTGGGAGGAGGAGGGAAGAAATGACAAATGGTTACTTCTAAAGCTGTCTGCATGTAACAGTTTTTAAGTTCAGGAGAGGAATTTGCTTTCAGATTAGAGGACAATGCTTTAAGCAGATGGGTCAAGGGAAGCACAGAATTTTCTCATGTGTGATGCTGCTGCTGTGTTCCAAAGACGAAGAGGAATTGAATTGCTTCAAAGTACATGAAACACCCCACAGAGATTCTCATTTTGTATTGAGATTTTCTGAAAGATCAATAATGGAATAGCACTGCAACCCTCAATTTACAGTACAAAACATCACACTATGCTGGTTCTTATTGCCCTATTGCTACAATCAATTAAAAAAAGCAGCTCTATTTTATTGGTTTTAAAATAAGTCAAATATTTTTAATTATAAACTAATTTCCAACTCAAGCCTCCTCAGCAGACATGATCATGATCAGAAAACCTGAATTACTGTGCAGAAAAATATAAGCACCTTTGGTTTCTCAATATTCTTTTAATTCTATGACATCTTTAATTCCTTTCATGTGAAATATGCAGCATAGAAATCTATTATTTCGTCATGCTGATGATTTCTATTTATGAAAGACTAAGAAGTTCACTCAGGTGAACATACAGAAATAAACTGCAAAGAAATGTCTATATCCTCTTACATGTGTGTGTCTGAAAAACGTATGCTTGTATGTAAATAAGAATGTCCAAAAAAAAAAAAAGAATTATTTTGTTAGTCTAATACAACCATTACAAGGTGACACATTCACATGTAATGAAATCAGCAAGTGGGAAAAATTCTGTTGTGCCAGGGACTATAACAGAGCCACACAATATATAATATGTTTCCTTAGAGCTGGAAAACTAATTCTTTGAGCAACCCCTCATTTAATCCTTATTTGAATGAGCTCTGTAACTTGTTTGAACCAAGGCTGCAGACATAAATTTACATATGCCATTAGGATTTTCTCTTCTGTGCCATGCTTAGTCAATTGTTCCCAAGCTCATCTACTCTGTGGTGACTTCTACAACAAATAGAGCTAAATTACAGCAGAGATCCACAGTTCAATTTAGTGGTTCTTTCTTCGCTTCTGTAACATAATTAAGGGTGGTTTTACAGTCTCCTCTTCTGGGTTTATAAAGAAAATGCTTCATTTTCAATTTTTTTTTTTTTTTCTTGGTAGTTTCATCTTTTGCATAAAAAAAAAAAGGGAAAGAAAACCCAAAGCAGTGCCTGTGATTGCAGTTCTTCAGACTCCATGCTCTGCACTGGGTTCTTGCATTTCCTGTGCTTCTTCCCTGCTTCACCGCAGTGGGCAGCAAAAGCCTTTTGGCACTGATGCTGCCCTTCCGGTGCTGTGAACACCCTTTGCTTCCAGCTCAGCTCCACCAGTGGACCCATACCCTGTCAATGAGTTTTTACTACTGCTATCCACCACAAAGAACAATCCACATGGGATTAAAACAGCTCCACGTATCTTTTTTACTTAATGTCTCCCCAAAGGGTACTTCACAGCCTCCTGCAAAGCAAGGCAGAGGTCACAATCTCATCTGAGTCACTGTGAGGATGAAAAGACCCAAAAAGGTGCACTTTGCTCTTTGATTCTGGTCTCAGTTATCTTTGTATCTTTGTTAATGTTCACTTCACAATTTATTTAGGACTGCAAGCAGAGTGACTTTCACTGTTGTAGGTACGGAAAGATTTTCATTAGCAGTGTTTAAGGGTTGACTCCGTTCATGAGGTGACCTATGGCCTCACTCGTAAGGAAAAAAGTAACCACTGAGCAAGGAGACATGTCAGGAAGGAACACATAATGTTGACTGCAGCCTGCAAGGTTATTTCACCACAGTGCATGCTGCAGCAGTCTGATTTCCTTCTACACCTGCCCTGTCAATCAGTCTTCTTGTTCACCTGGTGAAGGAGGTTTTTTTAACATATGAGTGATGTCAAGTCCTCAGGCTTGTGCAATGCCTGCTGAGTTGAATGGAAGAAAACAATATTATTTTGTAGCGAGAATGTTCTGTGCCATGTCCAACAATGAATTTATCAGAAAGGCAATTTTTCCTCCTATTGATGTCCGTACTTAGGAATGGCTGCACCAAATGGTGATGCATTTCTTATCAATTTCTTTCACATTCAAGTGCACCACAGTTCTGATGTGGCCAATTTTTATCCTGGGGCAAAAGAAAAGCCTTTAAAAATTCTTGGCTGGTTCCCTCTCACAAAACAGAAAAGAGTGCAATCGTAACACATTTTCTACCAGAGTCCCTCAGA